GCTAATGGTAAAAAAGGGGTTTGAATGTAGGGGACTGTTCTTATTTTACCGGAGGGTTAGAGGAATATAGGCAATATAGAAAATGAGATCTATGGCAAGAGTATTCTACAAGATACTTAACTAAAATGATGTATTATTGACTTTGTGCTATTTTATAATGCACATATAATGAAACCGTGGATTATTCCAATCAAATCAATTCTGTTAAATTTGAATATAAATGAAATTGTTAGTGAACATAAAAACAGATTTTAAATTTAAGTTGAAACCACTTGATTCATTGTACAATTAAACTAGAATCAAATTTTTTATTTTCTTTTTAGGTTATATGTCGATGCTAGACAAGCTAGGAAAAGTGAAGCTTTTAAGGCATTCCCGTTTGAGATCTATTAAAACTTATCTCCCCATGGAACTCAAGAACAGTCTTTTGTTGTGATGACTTCAAAACTTTCTACATAAATCAATGCCATAATACTTAGAAATGGAATCGGACCAATAAAAAGCACACCTACCCAGATGGTGAAAAACTATGTAGTGAATTCCACTGCAACAAGTTTGAAGTGTGATAGTTAGGACTAAAGGGTAAAGCAGTACCACTATTCTTTAAAATTTATACTCTTGCAAAATGAAGGCTGGACCAGCATTTAATGTGAGTCGGCCACCCAGACTTCAACATGATCAACAGATGTAAACATTAGCTGACAGTAATGCTAGACTGACTAAATTTTGAGACCAAATTTGAAGTCCAAATAACATGACAGTTGACTTGAGTTTCTTTGATTGATATCATATCATTTGGACCCCAAAAAAAACTTCAAATAATCAACTGTCATATCATTTGGGCTACAAATTTGGTCCCAAAATTTGGTCAGTCTAGCATTACTCAAACATCGGTCATGTTGAAAAATTCTAGCTTCCATTCTTCAGTGATCCCCAACTTGCTATGACACACCAAGTATTATTGGAGTTGAGAAAACATCTTAAGAATTAATAAACGTAATTAAAACAAGCTGCTCAATTATTAGTTTTGTCACCATACCCTACAAATAGGAAATTATATGGCGCACCAGTCCTACAGAACATGTTGGTGTTACATAAGCTGTTGCAGTAAGAAAGTAAGGCAAATAATGGTCAGACTCTCGCTGGCTGTTTGTCTGGGAGAGAAAGGGAGAAGAAAAACAGCGCCCACCTTCTTGTTTGAGATTGCTCAAGCATAGCATCCCCAATCACAGCATTGAGTACTTTTAAAGTCAAAGCAACAGGCTACATATACAGTTTTCTTCTGAAAATAAGCTCTGTAAACATTAAATGTATCAATTGTACACAATGTGACAGCCAAGAGCTATTATACATTACTCATGGCTAATATTCAAATGCATTGCCCATACTTGATATCACACACACACAAAAAAGAAGAAGAAAGACAACACAAAAGAATAATGCACCTGGGTGGAATCTAGATGACTTATGTGTGCGGTCACCGCAAATGAGAAAGTACAATATAATTCCTTTGAATTCAGGCCTATATGAAGGTAACATCATGTATAAGAAGGTATGAAGTGGTCAAATATACTTAGTTATCATGGACAAAATGATATGACTTGCATTGCTGTCAAAATTGCTTGATTTTTTTTAGCAAAAATGAGTCGTCCATTTGTCAAAAACCTAGAACATCAAAAATTGCATGGGTCAAGAAAGATTTCTATGAACATAATAGGTAATAGCAAAGATATTCCACCACAAGGCTACAAATCCAACAGCAAATCAATCTAATCAAGTTCACTTTAATGGAAGTAGTAGCCAATATGGTAGATGTGAATTTTGGGAGGTCTGCTTCCAGAAAAATGACCTCATCATCTTTCTTGATTGTCTCATTTCCCATTTCAACCAACTTGTTGCCTAAATGATTGCTGCCTAGAAAGTCAATTATTCAGCAACACCTAATTATTTGGAACTCAACATCCAAATTTAATGATAATTCTAAATCAACATGTATTTATAGTAAGTTATGCATAAGAAATTCGTAAGTATCATATTACCTTTCTCGTCAATGTACTAATTAAAAAATACATGAAAAGCAAGGAAGTGGTGTATGTTGCATATGTAGTTATGTCAACTGTGATAGAGTACCATATTTCCAATTCTCCATAAGAATTTATGCTTTTCCTATAAACAGAATATGACACAGTGTGGAAAGCTTCTGAATCTATTATCATGAAAGTTCAGGAACTGGGATTTCTTTAAAGGCTAAACAATTGATGTGGAACTGATACATATTATGCTTAACAACATACAGACATACAAGAATTTCATAGAAGTCTATAATCAAACAGATAATGCGCAGTGTTCTAGCGCTGGAAGAAAATGATCAACCTAAAAGGAACCGTGTGTAGAATAGGTAGTTCTACCTGTTCAAGCTTTCGTAATGCAAAGAAAGAGTGGATGGAAACATTTTAATTGATGAATCACGTTTTCATACTTGAAACAGTTGGTAATGGGAGAGGAATGGAGTGACCCAACAACTAATTTATAACTGACATTCAATGCAGAATAAATTTTCTTTGAAAGACAGAGAAGAGAATAGGCTCATGATTGAAGAGAGAGTAGCTCCACACATTTAATTCCAAGAATTTGTTGAGCCACAAAGAGCCGATTGCTTATTCAATTGAGAGAGAGAGAGAGAGAGAGAGGGGGGGGGGAGATGAAGGGTGGGGAATGAAAGACTAATTCATGTTACCATTAAAGGAGGGGAGAAAGAGAGAGACAGACGAAGATGTGACCTCTGAGGTTTTCCCCAAACCCATGCTCCCTCAAAACATAATTCCCAAATTCAGTAACTTTTAAACTTAATTCCCAAACTCAGTCTTTTTTTTAAAATGTCATTTGAAATGACGTCTTCTCACCTACAATCGTCATTTGGAATGAAGATTTAAAGTTTTAATTTTTTTTCCAGAAAACGTCATTGCTAATGACGTTTTTAAAGTCGTCATTCAGAATAACGTTTTTAAACATGATTTTTTAAACGGTAGTAACAGATGTTAAAAATTATAAAAGGGATGAAAATGTCATTCAAAATGACATTTTTTTAGGCAAATAAACGTTTTCAAATTTTTTTAGAAGACCTAAGTCGGTCTCTCCTCTCTCACATCGCTCCTCCCTCCTCCTCCTCCAACCAGTCAGTCCACTGTCTCAGATCGGTCGATCTCTCCTCCTCCTCCGCCTGCAACCACTCAGCCACCGTCTTCTCCGACAAGAGCAGACCACTCAGCCCCTGTCCGACGAAACAGCCAATACATTTACTTTGTTTTGTTCAGCTCTATTAGCTGCGGCTGGGGTTTCAAACCAGACCACTCTCTTTATCTGCTACGTTCTCATCTTCAGTAAGGTTAGAACTACGATTTGTGTTTTGATTTAAGGGCTTGTTGGTTATATGGTTTTGGTGGGTTTTGGTCTCCAATGGATTTTAGTAATTGATCTAAATCCTCTTAATTATAGTAGAGAAACAATTAGGGTAATTACAATATTCCCCTATCTAAATTAAATATGACTAATACAAAAAATAAGAACTCTTAACACCTTTCTCATAGACCTTTAAAATCATCACAATTATCTTCAAGAATCTTCACGTTCCTCTCCTTCCAAATCACTCATAACGTAGCAAAAAGGGACTATGATGTTGGTCAGGCAAATATGATGTTGGTCTGCTGTTAAGGTCTTAAGGGGCTTCTTGTAGCTAATAGTTGCGATGCTTTCCTTTTATATAGGCATCATGAGATTTTTGTTTAAACATAGCATTTTTAGGGTGCCTTCTTCAGCTTGTAATTTCTATTTGTCAAATTCTCATGGAAGAGTAAACAAAATAGCTGATGTCTGGCTTGATTGCTTGCGATTATTTTCAACATATGTTGTTAAAAGGTCATCCCTACTGCATTTTTGGTGTATGAACAGTTTCTACTCCCTTGTAAAGGTCATCTTAGCTAGATTCTTTCTTTGGAAAAAATAATCCAAGTAGTTTCTTATTGGTGACTATACTAACTGAAGATTACAATAAATTACCTTATTTGTTAATCTTTTATTATGATTTTTACACAACTAGTAATTCTTTCAAAGTGGCGCTTCTAATTCTTTTGGCTGTTTTACACATCTACCACTGGAAACCTTGTTATGTCTCATCATTTTTTCAATCATTGTTGTTTCTTGATTTCTCTAGTTAAAAAACTTTGATGTGCTATCTAATTATCTCGAAAGGTAATGTCAGCCACTAATTGTATTGTCAATAATTTTCTCTTGATTCTTGGCAGATGGGCTTCCAATTTGTGGGCAAAGCAGTGTATATTGTGTATGGGTTGCTGCCCTGTCATTGTTTATGGAGCTGCTAGGTTTCTCCACACAGACATGGCTCACTGCAGGTGGTCTTGGAACAGTCTTGTTGACACCGGCTGGTCGTGGGGTGTGATTTATATTTCTACTGTGTAAAATAGTTCATCCCTGCTATTCCTTCACCAACATGAAGATTACTCCTGAAGATATATATGTTCTCTATAGTTCAGTCGATTATATATTTTGATCCATGACCACTGTTTTTGCCATTTGTAGATATTCACAAATTTTCTTTCAAGTGCAATGATTCATGCAACCCGTCCATTTGTCGTGAATGAGTGGATTCAGACAAAGATTGAAGACTATGAAGTTTCTGGTACTGTTGAGTTCCGTATATGAGTTTTGCAGCCATGTTCATAAGTAGATCCATATGAAGAGGACAAAGAGAAAGATAAGTTATTTTTAGTGAGTTCACCTATTATTTAGATTTTTGTTACCTCATTTATCTCATGAGTGTATCTGTTTATCATTTGAACCTGCTAAATTTAATCCTAAATTCACTAATTTCGTGTTGATTTCGTGTCGGCTGAGTGTTGTATAGGATTGCCAGAATTACATGGAGGATCAGGCAACTATTTTAACTTCAAGCATAGAAACCAAAAATATAAAAGAACAAAAGACTAAATAGATAAGCAAGGTTCAAGTATTTTTTGAAGTCTCATACCATAAATACTAGGTTCGTCCCTTTCCTCGGAAACCCGGATTGAAACATCCACAAATCCTTGAGGTTTGGTGGAATTCCTTTTCCGCAATTCAAAACTCCCCACTTCCTCAACTGGTTTTGAGTTTGAAACTTCAGAATTCTTCATGTATTTATCAAGAAATTCTTTCACAACAACTGTAGCTGTCCCCTGAAGCCTCTCTCTAAGAAAGATAGGCTCTCTACTGTAAACCTCAACATTCAGAGCCAAATCTCCGAGGTTCGATTCGGATCAACCCACCCAACAGCCAACCATTGGAGCTTCCACAGAGATGAAGTTCTCCGAAGTCCCCTAGCAGAGATCAGGCAGATTTCAACACTGAGTTTACCCATTTCAGACCAAGTTTCTGTTTGTTGAAAGGAACAAGAGGTGGTGAGAGAAATTTGTCCCCTGTGACTGTGAGGTTCTGAGACAGGAGAATGTGATGGCTGAGTGGTTGGAGGAGGAGGAGGAGGGAGCGATCTGAGAGAGGATGGCTGACTGGTTGGAGGAGGAGGAGAGACCGACTGAGAGAGGGATCTGAGCGAGAGAGAGAGGGAATCTGACTGAGATAGGGGTTCTGATCGAGCGAGAGGGGATCTGACTGAGAGAGAGATGCGTTTTAAAAAAATCTGTAAAGTAAATGAGGAAGGTTTTAAATAAGTCATTGTAAATGACGTTATATATCTCTTTATTTTTTATTTTTTTAAAGCCTGTTAACTCCGGTTAGTTTTATTCATCTTAAAAATCGTCATTGCAAGTGACGTTTTTAATAAAAAAGTTTTAACTCTCAATCCCCATTGCAAATGAAGGTCTCACAAAAAAATTGGGTTTGAGAATTATATTTAAAAGTGATTGAATTATGAAAATAAATTTTGAGGGAGACTGGGTTTAGGGAAAACCTCGGTGACCTCTCCCAATCAATATTTGGTAGTGAGGTTTGGTAATTAAATTAGGGATTGAAATGACTTAATTCTATTGCTGAGGGGTAAAAAAGAAATGGATTAATTATAAGTTGTACTCTGAAAGATAGTGAGAATTTCAATTTACACCCCTAAAGATCAAAAATTTTAATTTGTACCCTCAAAGATAAAAATTTGTATCAATGTGCACCCCCAAAGATAAAAATCTTAATTTGTACCCTCAAAGATAGAAATTTGTATCAATGTGCACCTAAAACTAAATTGATAAATTATATCTAGATCCCCTCATGTTTGTCACTTAATCATTTTGACCCTTTCACATTTAGAATATTACTCTTACATCTCATGACGTTTGTGCACCTGCAACATGTAATCTCTTTTCATCCTACAGAAATCAATTTGAAGTTGCCTTTTGACTACTGCTCACATAAACTATTATGTCTCCAGAGCAAGTTGAACACCACTTTCATCTCATGGCGCCCTCCCGCAAAACATCTATCATGTTGTAGATGAATTTGTCCGCCTTTGATTGAACCTGAGCTTACACAACATTTCCAAATTCAGTCAAGTAACAGAAATTAACAGCGAGAGAAACTCGGAGCATTTGATAATAACAGCAGTTTTTATACATGTTTTGTTATATTTTCTTTAATACTCTTAATAGTTTTAATTGGTTGCCAAAAGGCTATTATATACCATTGATATATTTGGTGGATTATAGCTGACAAATGTAACGTTGCAAAGGGCAAAAAGATGAGTATATAAAAGTTGTAATCAAAATAATGGTTAAATTATGTGAATAACTATTACTCGAGCGGTGCATTTTGAGGAAGCAACCATTATCACCTTCTTAGCAAGGAAAATTGCAGCATCAACTGTACCCTCCGCATAGATTGATCTACCACAGACATTATGCTGAAACTCAAAAGAAACTCTGAAAAAAGGAAACACATCTAACATAGTTAGTGATGCTTACTAGGAAGACAAACAGAGAAGCACAAAAGCAATGGTTCGTAAATTACGTTTTATCAGGTGACTCCAGTTGATACTTGTGGAATGCATGACCGGATAGGTACTCTTTTGGGACACCCACCATCTCAATTTGTTGCTTGGGATCTCGTATTATTTTTACCTGATGAAATGTTAAATAAAGGATCAAGGAACATACCTAACAGTTCTGATTTGATTTTTGCCATACAGCTTATGCAAAGAGGAAGGAAAGAGACAACAAAAAGGTTTTAGCCCCCCAAAAGGATAAGTCTCTACATGCCAACTTACATTACATGAGTACCAGCAAAAAAACTTACATTACATGAGTTACTAGGATCCTATAGCTTGCTTTAAGGTCTAGAAGCAATGAACACTACTCACAACAAAGTATGCCATAACACACCTATCATGCTAAACCATCTCATAAACCCATAACGAGACCCATAGTCCCTAAATAGTTATCGTATAACCAAAGGGGTGCAATTTTTTTCTCTGGATAAGAAACAAGTAATTTACTGGTGAATAATCAAATAAGAAGGATACAATAAAGGTGGACAAGCTGTACAACCAAAGCATAATAAATCAAAAGTCATGGAAACCAAACTAAAAATCGCAGAAAGCATTCCACATTGCAAAAATACATAACAGAGGAGTTCCTTGAAACTCCTTAGTAACTAAGGCCCAAAAAGAAGCTAAAAAGTAACTCGTTTCCCACAAACAAGCACCACTCAAGATAGTTACCATCAATATATTTATGAATCCACCAAAATCTTGATTCAATGCTTGACCAAAGCTTCAAATGCGGACAGTAAGGTTAAGTTATTGGGTCTAGTCCCCTTACCATATGCTTAGAGGCCGAGAGAGTCTCCATATGAAGCCCAGTTCTAAAGACTGCAATATATTTTAGTCATTAGTTCCAAAATGGGCATCAGCAAGGAAATTGAGGGATGAGTAGAAGCTGACTGTTTTGGAAAACCAATAGGGTGTTGATCATGACCTAAAGAGATGATGTGGGTATAACGTTGTTCAATCTGTGGAAGTGACTTGAGATTAGAAGAATCAGAGCAAGAAGCAGAAGAACCAGCACGGCATTGGATGAGAGAGATGATTCTAAAGGCCTTAAATAGATGAGATTGGCCTGAAAAGTCTGTGCAGCATGTAAGAAGGGACTCCACCATAGATTTGTCACCTGCAGTCAATTGTCTAGGATTGATATTTGTGACTTATGTGATGTCAATTGGTATTTTCTTTGAGTTTCTGGTTGCTTAATGTTTTGTTTCAATTTTACAGGAGGAATGAATTTTTGGATTTGTCACAGAAAAAAGTTTCTTGGTAACAAATCAAATGAAGAAGGCAAGTGTTGTGTCAAGTAACATGGTAGCCGAGTACCGACTGTATGATGGCACCCACACTCACCACATCCAGAATAGAACAGTTAGCAAACACCTCGCCCACCCTTTTCCTCAACTAAAAAGGATCAGTTCATCCAAGTAAAACCACAACGTTCGACAAAGCTTCAATTGCACTCAATTGCCCGCAATTTCAGCTGTACATAATCACAAACACCAGCACCCCCAGACAATTGAGCAAGACCAGACACACACACACACACCCCACCACCCCATCCCTGGACGCCCAGACCTCGAACCTTCCCCTCCCAGGCGGAACCCGAGTTCCCCCCAACCTACATACAGATAATTCAGTAATACCTCCCACCACCGGTCACCATCACAGCCCCACCCATCACCATTGCACATGGCCCCAACACTATCATTCTTCAATTTTGTTGCTTTGTTTTTATATGACATATAGTATGTGAGAGTAGAGATAGAGTTTGGGGGCTTGTTGCAAGTGGAGCTTGTCACAGATTCATCAACACTGCAAGAACTCAAAGCTTGGAAATCATCGTCTTTCTCTCTTCGAGGCAACACTAAACCTGTGCATATGTTTACAGGGGTATTGGCGGTGGTGGGTTGGGCTGAAGTTTTGGCTACGAGAGAGGAGACATTGACCGACGAAATACACATGCACAACACATATTTAAAATGGAGAATGGAAATGTAAAATGTCACTTTTCATTAGGGACAAATTTGTAGAAAGACATCGCCCATTTTCTGCATTGTCCGACAATTTCTGACAAGGGAATGTCATTTTATTTTCAAAAATCAAGGGGTCGTCTCTGTAATTATATCAATCTACGAAAGATGTCATTGATATTTATCCAAATTATTATTAGGATATTTCAACAAATATTGACAAACCGAAGCCTTTCAAGCATATAAACTGCGTCAAAATCCATTTACCCAATTAAATATTAAGTATTTCATTGATGATTCATTAGTCATTCTTGAGAAATGGAGAGAAAATCCAATACTACTATGTACTATCATGTCCTAAACACACCTGATCTACTTCAAACGAAACCCCCAATTTCTGAAAGCATGAAATGACAGCCTTGGCAGTTCCAGACGTGTCCAGTTTCCCAGCTTGAAGTGACTACATCACTGATGGGACTCTTCTGAAAAAGCCTATGATGAAGACACGCGTCCTCGGGGGGGTTCTAGGACAATGTTGCTCGGGTTCAAGCACCATCGGCAAAAGCGTCCTCTCCCCCGAGGTACCTCTCATACAGGATCACATATTCGGTACATTATACAATGACATGTGTCCTCGGTCACCATGTACCTCGGGAACACACCACCCCTTGGTCCCCCGAGGTGAGCCTTTCCTCGGCGCCGAGGGTCACTCCATCCTGGACGCTTCCTCTACTCCCGGATAAAGTTACTGACGTACGGGACATCAGCCTATGCCAGTCTAGACTATTCATCATGACCCCGTCTTACACAAGTAATGTCAGAACATGCTGGAATACAGAAGTCATAGCCAATACGTGACGGACGCGTGGCATATGATATCACATCAAAAACAGGCAAACCGCACGCTGTTGCTGACATGCGCTTTGGGAAGCAAACAATTAATTGCGCCCTTCTGTTGACGAGACCGCATTCAATGCGGTAAGGTCCGGATATGAAAGGCAATAAATGCTCCTATTACGGAGCATTTATTACATCCTTCCCGAAAGGAGCATATTGTACCGTCGGCGTCCCGACGACTCAACATTGATTGCTCGGGACCCCGAGCAGTCAATTAGAGAAGACATTCCTCATCAAATCAATACACACGCTACCAGTGCCTGATGATCACCTACTGACCACACTGACAGCAATCATGAGCTTCTAAGGTATAAATACCCCTCCCAAAAAGGCAAACGGGTATGCAATCACAAACTCTCTACTACGAAATATCCTTTCTCAGTGTTTTCTCCTTCCTCTTTCTCATTCAAAGACTGACAAGATCGTCGGAGGGGATACGCCGGAAAACACTCCGGCGCCCTTCTAACTTGTTCTCTTTTGCCCCAGGAAATACCTTTCGCACGTACCGGATCGTTCCTCCTTCCCCAGGATCGTAAGCTGTTTCGCGCAGTGTGTTTGGCCACTCAATCGGCTCGCCCAAAGTTCACCAGGGGAGAGATCTGTTCCCAATATTTTATATATATCGTGCAGGATCAAGCCCGCACAATCTGGCGCCGTCTGTGGGAAACGAGTAGTTTTCCTAATCTTTTCTCTAAAAAGAACAGTGACCATGGTGAACACCAGACAGAAAGGGAAGGGACCCCACCAACGGAGTCATGAGTTGCAAGCTCCCTGCCATC